TGATTGATGCCTTATGGAATAAGTCAAAATCTGTTTATTAGAGAGGATGTTGTTTTTGTTAGATGTGATTAGATAAATGATCGACAAGAAGACCAAAGAAAAAACGCTAGGACATCAAGAAACAACAAAGATGAATATTTGAATATATTTGAATTAAATCATCAGAACAACAAATAATTCAACAAATCAAGAACACAAAAGACAAAATGGAAATGAACTAGATTTATTAAGAAAAAACTCGAACTGATTTCATGGAAGTTTTTGAATAGAGAGAATATGTTCAATGTTTGACACTTGAGACTTTTGATAATATCAATCTATAAGATTTAATCTCCGGTCAGGAAATATCAACGAAATTAGTTTTTCAAGTTGTCATATGAAAACTCTCATAGTTATGTATAACTTAATTGAACCATCCTATTTTCTTTTATTATAGTAATTACGAATGAAATTGTGATCGAATTATCACATCAAGTCTTTTGTTTTGAATGATTAATAATTTATTCTATGAATTCAGACTTGAATATTATCAAATTCATTTTTATCTCATGCTTTATTCTTTATCGTAAGCAAATAGTAATGTTTGAAGTGTTTCTTATATTTATTATCTAGCAGCTGTAAAAGTATACAATTCCGGGTTTCTTTAACCTCGACTTTTGTTTAAGAATAGATCAGCTGATGTTCAGATCTGTTCCAGGAAATTCTGTCTATTAACTTTCTATAAGTTTATATAACACCTGGTTGCTTTCAAATGAGATGTCACTGTTTATATAATATATCTAGAACAATTATATTTATGTTGATATTTCCGAGTTTTTGTCGATTTTTCACTTGGAATAAACTCTATGAGTTCATTGAACCTTTATTATTGTTACAAAGATTGAGAAATACAAGCAGTAAGTTCTGAAATTAATGATGATTAAAAAGTTAGTTGCTTGAAAATACGTGCAACAAATTATAAAATGAACTACATTTTTATATTCGAAGTTGATGCAAAAAGCAAAAGTCTTGAACGTAGATTGAAATTCCGTATTTTAAGTTTTGCTTTAGTTGACTTCTCTTCTTCCTTAGACGAGTAATTTGTTTGAGAGTAATTAAAGGATTAATTCTTGTATTTAATTAATATTGTTTCGTCTCTAATATTAGAGATGCATCTAAATTAAGCTTTTAAGTACCTGGATCTTGAATAAATGACTTTTTTTTTTTCGTATTTCTTAAGAGAGCGGCGATGCGGAGGCCAAACAATCGAGATAGTAATCAAAATTTAAATTTTTCATTTTTAACTTTAATCAACTTTACAGTGCTCTCTACCTACTATCAAGGAAACAGTAATAAATTGTCTTCTAAATGTCTACTAGAATTATACTTCCATAAGTCAGAGAATTTTTTTATGCAAACTATCAAAAGATCAACCATTAACAGCTACAAAAAATGAGTTATTTAAAAATAGTGTATACTATTTATCTACTGAGTCAATATAAATCACAAAGTCACAATTTAGCAGTCTATAATGCTTGCTTGTTGACAGTACATCTACCTGTCATTTTTCGAAATCAAATGAAGCCAAGCTAAATTTTCATGGAAAAAAAAAGTTCGCCTTCACGTCAATATTAGGTTTACACTATCAATAGATAGATAAAAAGCCTCAAGGAAAATAATCTCAGATACTTTTCAATGTTCTTCATTCATAAGAATTTTCACCTCAAAGATATTAGACCTCTATCCTAGCTGGAATTATACAGACAGTTATTTCTAAAAACGAAAGAAAAAAAACCATTTCGACTACCTACATCCCTGAGAAGGGACTACAGGAATTTTAAAATAATCATTCATATCGGTAGAGCGCAGAATATTGATCATAGCCGTAGGATTGAAGTTCATTATTAATTGCAATTCACTGATATATCGAGCATCTTTTTGATGGAAAATTATAGGATCAATGACATCGAGAGGTCGACCCTATACCACTAAACTACCATTAACAATGTACTTTAATCATATTGTCAGAAAACAAAACAATTCTTAGAAATACATTTATATAACAGTTTCACCAAATTTCGAAACATGCATCAAGATACGCTGTGAAATGTTGAGTTCTCGCGTTTTTTCATAATTTGAGAGAAAAAAAAACACTTGGAAGAACCAAGTTTCAAAATAAAAATTTGAAAACGACACAAAAAACTTTTTCTGCCAGCTCTATATCATTGGGGACAATCTAAAGACTTTCATGGTTAAGTTTCAATGTAACATCATTTTGTTCAGAAGGAAATTTTGCATTCGACAATATGATTGATAAACTGTTCATAGAGCACGGTAACTTTTGAAAACGTAAATGTCGAAAGCACATTTGAAACAAAATATCATTTTACGTTTATTCCGAGTCTTTTACATCTAAATAAAAACACTCGGAGCCTTGAGAAGATTTTGGGAGCATAGAGCATAAATTTCTATATTTATCAATGCTAAACACTTTATATTTAGCATTGAGTTTAATCAGCAAAAACTTGTACAAATCGCTAGACACTTGCAGAAAATCGCAATTTGGTAGTAAAATAACCGTCAGTCTTTCAAATTTCTGCTCGATCAGATTAACTTATTTAAAAAAAACGAAGTCCACCTATTTGTAGAGCGAAAAATTCTCTATCAAACAAAAGTAGAATGATACTTTTGAACAATGTTTTCGTTCTTCAAAAAAATGTAAAATCAAACTGTCGCATTTTTATGGAACATCCATTATTCATATAATTCTAGCTAAAATAAATTTCTAATAGCTTCATGACAGTGTAAACCTCTTGTCAGCTCAAAAATAAATTTTTTTCTTCGATGGAAAGTCAGCTTGACTTTATTTGATTTCGAAACAGTGGCAAATCAATATACAGATTGAACCATTAAGAGATGTTTTATTAAACAAAAATGAAATATCTCTACGTTGATTCAATGAAATGGGTTGATTTTTTTTATTAGCGGTAGAAGTTCATTCAAGGTTAGTTTTTTTCATACGGATAAGGTAAGCAAATACTACTGTCAAGTATTATTGTTATCATGAAAACAATTTTATCCTATTATCAACTAAGAAAAATACATTTGTTATTGTTTCATAGATAATTTTCAGTTGTTATTCAAAAGAATAAGATAAAATCAAAACAAACTATATTGATGCATATAGAGAAAATTTTTCAAAACTAATTTGTTTTTAAGTCAATTATGACAAAACTGAATTGTCAAACATTGAACATTAGTTTTTGAAAGAAAGTTGGTGCTCGATAAGCTGCAATAATCGGTTTTACTTATGAAGCATAAATTTTAGCATTTAAATTGACTATTAGTTTTGAAAACTAGCTTTGTGTACGCTAATGTAGTTTATTTTGACTCTATATTATTATTTTCTTCAATGGCAAATGAAAATTATTCATCTGACGCTTCCTATGTATTTTTCTTACTTGACGATAGGTCAAATTTCTTAAGTGAGGCCAAAAATATAACTTGATAGTACTATTTGCTTTCGTTATCCATATGAAAAAAAGGTTTTAAATAAGCTTCAAGCACCAACCGAAAAAATCATCTTATTCAAGAAAACTGAACCGAAGGTTTTTTTTTAATCACAGTGCTATTGATAATTTATCCTGTACTATCAAAACTGAACTTCATTTTTTTTCAGCTATTAATGATCTATCTTTTGATATATTGCATGATAATACTTTCTGACTTGTCGGAGTATAATTGGAATAGACGTTTTTGAAGCAATTTATCGCTATTTTCTTGCTAGTAGATAGAGAGCATTATAAAGTTAAACAAAGCTAACTTTACTGTAAAATATTCACATGAGCTAAACATTTAGGTTTAGATGATAGCCCTCCAAATCTATATAACAAATTAAAAATTTTAATTTTGTTGAATAGTCTGTTGAAGATCACTAATTTATCATTTTAGAGATTTTCATATTCACAAGTTGGACTGAATATAATTTGACATATCATGATATTTTCCTCATAGATCATTGCGACACTAACTCAAGGAGAAACAAGAAGCAAAACTGAATGTCACCTTCAATAAATCTAAGGAAAAAAAAAGGAATAAATCATTATCGGGAAGACAAAAAAAAATCATTTAATACACAAAATGACAAGCAGCTGTATCTTTTCAATTCTTGACAATAAATTAAAGATGACCGGTTTATAATATAAATAAAGATTCACATAAAACTATTTATCACTATTTTCATTCTAAATAAATCTTTTCATATGAACTCTCAAAGACATTTGTGATTTTATAATTATCATAAGAATATTTTGTAAATAAATCATATATTCATTCTTGAACTAATCTGATTCGAGAAACATATCAATACTGTTAAAGAAAACTCATCAAAAGAAATTTCGTGCTTTGACAAAGTCATAATACTGGAAGATTCGAACAATTTAATATCAATAAAATAAATCGTACGTCAAAAAAGGCAAACTGTAGAACCTTTATATGTAGACAAATATTAGTTTTATTGAAATTCAAATTTACAAAAATGGAATAACACAATTGTTTTACATTATTAGAATTAGTAGAGATATTATTTAGAAATAAAATCTTAGAAAAAACAATCTACAAATGTCAATATATTATTTATAAAAGAGTATCCATGACTGACAAACTTAATATTATTGTTAAAAATATTCAAGTAACTCAACTTTCACTTTGTTTACTGTTGAAACTTTTCATATTAATAAAATGGTTTTTACAAATTCGTAAGTCTAATAGCTATTTTCGTATTTAGCAGATATCCTATAATTGAAACATGATTAAACAGTGTATGTTCTAGCAAATACCCATGCAAGGATACAAAGACAAAAAAAAAAGATGCAACGGTGTATAACACTCGCCCATATGGTTACTTTTTGTTTGTGTAGCGCTTTGTATATCAATTATCATATATGATCATGCCTATTTTCTGTCAGTCAACTATACTAGTAAGCCATTAGTATTTCATATTAACCAAGGCAAAGTCGAGTATGAGATCATTTTTTATCGGATTACTATTTTTACTTATTGTTTCATATTGGGCTCATATTTTTCTTACGCGTGAACTTGATACAAATGAATTAGCTACTGTTATTATTGATAATAACCCCATTGGTCATGGTATATGTGAATGTCGATGTTGTCTTTTAAGTGGTAGAATGTGTGAAACTATTATACGACATAGTAGATTATTCAAGAAAGAGTTTTCTTGTGATTTATGTACAAATGAATATTGTACTATGAATGTTAATGAAACTCAACAATGCGAATGGATGCATACAATGAAAGCTGAATGTTATCAATATGAACGTCGTCAGAAATCTTTATCATCATTTGTCAATGTACGACCTATTTTACAATGAAAATTGTTTTGTTTTGTTTTTTCTTTTCTTTTTTTTTCTAAATTAATAAAAGTATTTTTGAGAAAATAAACATATTAATTATGTTTTATAAAATGAAATCATGCTACTCTGGAATCATCATTAGCTGTTATGAAATATTTCGATGACCAATTTTTAGTGAATTTGCTGTTAGGATATTTTTTTTTTTAAATTGATGTCGAAATATATGAAATCTATACATTTGTGACAATTGAATTAATAGTCGGAATTAGTCATCTCGAAAAACTTTATTCTTAGATATTTTATCTACTGATCATGATAAGAATTTGAGACCTGTTTTTTTGTTTTGTTTTTGCATTTGATTCACAATAATTTTATTTTTCAATAATGATTCATACATATTTATGTGATATTCAAGTTGTATTATTAGTCATCTACTACCTTTATGTGAGAAATTTTCATGTTGATAGTATCTAGAGTAAAATGAAAAAACAAAAAATATACAAAAATATTGTATATGTTGATTGGATGACATCAATGGTTGCTATATAAATAGCTGTATTGAGTATTGATGATGAAATTTCTCTTGATTCACGAGTTACATTGCAGTATCCAAATAGTAATAGAACACAGAACAGCGATGAGTCACTGTATATATACAATGAATAGTTGCCAACGTGGCAAAAGGAAATAGACTTCTACATCATAGACGAGACACGTCACTACACTTCGATGATGACTACATTTGGCTGCTGATTGTGCTCAGTGGTAGCTGCTTTCTTTTTTATTCGTATATAAGGTAAGTTTTGCGTCTTACAAAGGAACCAAAAATAAATAAATAAAAATAAAATGAATAAATGTCTATTTTAACCAAAAATTAAAAAGAAAATGAATAGATAATTGTAATAAAAATTATTCAATACATGTGTATCAAAACTAAGAAACAACTCTTGTCAATAATGTTGTTGAGAAATTCTTTATCTTTATCAACCACATTCAATTTGTTAACCACAGTAAAACATATATATACTTTCAATTTAAGGCAAATATATTCAAATCTATCAAAATGATGATGGAAACTATTTGTGATCCTTATGATATTCTATTTGGTGATGGACAAAAGTCACCAACATCAGAAGGTTTACTTTTTGGTAATGAAGTCATGCTAGGAGATTTTAATAATGATTTATCATGGACAAGTCCAATATCAAATACAATAGATAATGCAGGTTAATATATTCAATAGTGTTTTTTGTTTACTATTGTTATAATATTTATCATTCATTATTTTTGTTTATATTATTCAGAAGACCAATTTGATCCTGCTGCTTTTGAAACATATTTAAACGAACTTTTATCATCTGAACCATCATTGTTAAAAGAACAATCGATTGATCTTTTATCGACATCATTTGAAACTGAACCAACGACACGTGAAATTGGTACTGATCCCATGGAGGAAGTACCAACAACACGACCAATTACTATTACAACAGCTAATATAAATCAATTAACTAAAACACCTATTATTCTTATTCAAACATCGAATCAAACTGCAATTGGTAATGCATTACGAATAGAATCTGTACAATCGACAACAACGCCGGTACCAACTGAACTATTTAATTTTCAATATGAACCTTCATCATCAACAATAATTGATTATCCAATGGAAGATGTTCTACCATTAACACCATCAAGCTCAAGTGAATCACCTGATGAAACAATTTCAAATTCACCAGATAGTTCAGATAATGCTTATTCAAAATTGTTAACAAATTTTGATGTAAATTAACAAATCAAAAGAAAATTAATTTTTTATTTTTTTCATGTCTTATATTATTTTTAGAATTTACCCACCACAGGTCCATTAGTTTTAACTAATGAAGAATTAAAATTAATCAAACAAGAAGGTTATCAAGTTCCCACTAAATTACCATTAAGTAAAACTGACGAAAAAATATTAAAAAAAATTCGACGAAAAATTAAAAATAAAGTAATTACAAAAAAACATACCAAAAAACAAATAAATATGTTTTTTTTTGTTTCAGATTTCGGCACAAGAAAGTCGTCGAAAGAAAAAAGAATACGTTGATGCACTTGAAAAACAAATTGCCAAATATGTGGATGAAAATAATACGCTCAAAGAACGCATGGCAGCTATAGAAAAAAACCAAAAGTAAGACACATTTGAATAATATAAGATATCATCGAACTCAAAAAAGAAAGACTCGCATTTTATCTATACGAAACTAAACATGTATATAGAGTAGCATAAAAATGTTTCTTCTAGAGAGATAACATTGTAGTTTCAAATGCAATCAACAACAAATTTCTATGCTAAATTGCAGCTCATTGAAAATATTATTTATCAGTAATGAATGAAGAGGGTTATGGTACTTTGTCAAAGTCGAATTCAGGATATTTTGATGTCATGTTGATAATTGAAAAAATTACTTTAATAAAGTAAAATCATATTACAACTGATACCTGCGTGATTTGAGCTTATATTGGGTTCATAAAGGAGTTCTTGGTAAGACTAGAAAAATCCTAAAAGAATTCGTGTCCATAAGCCTCGTGAAACGAGTTATAATCGTTTTATTGAATTTTCTATCCAACTTGAAGGATATTTTACTAAAAATCTTTGATTGTATATCAACAATGTGAATGACGGTTAGAGGCTCTCGGATGTGGGACCACACCAACGAGTTCTGATCACGATTTGTGATGTTTTCATAGTTATGTCTGTATGGAAGAACGAGATCAAATTTTTACCGCTATACTTCAACACTCCTTGAAGATCATGTTTCATAAAATCTAAACTTTCGATTATTATTCATAGATAATATTTTTTGTTCTCATGACCTTCAGATATACTAATTTTTTGATTTATTTAGAAAATTGACACAAGAACGAGATTTACTTCGATCAATGATTAACAAAGGAATGCCTGGACCTAGTACAGCTTTAATGGTAAAATTATTTTTATGAAAATAAAATTAAATAATTATTCTCATTTATTTATATTAGGTTTTTGCTGTATTTTTTGCCGTTGTTTTTGGTATTTGGGCACCTATGACAAAAAAATCATTAAATGAAGATAGATCATTATCATTAGAAAATGCATTCATATCATCAAATAATTATCAATCTGCATTTACATCACAGAAATCTTTACTCAAACAACAAGAATCTACTCATTCAAATTATGTTACTGATAATTATAAATCTCGTGTACTTCTTTCAACTGACGAACATGATAATCATCATCATCATGGACCATATTTACCATCAAAAAATAAATATCAATCAACATTTAAACAACAAACAGCTGCACCCGGTTATATTTATTCAAATACAGTTGAAAAATATATGAATAAAAAACTTAATTCTGAACAATTAATAGAAGAAACACATAATCATGATTATAATTTAAAACGATCATATATTGATGAGTCTTCATCAAGTGTTTACACAGAAGAACCAATACATAAAAAAAAACGATCAAATTATCATTTAAACGAAAATTTTGTTGTTATTGAAGAAACAAGTGAAGAAATAGATAATGTTCTTAATGAAAGTAAACCGGTAAAAATTATTCGTGTTGAACGTACAATACCAGCAATTGGAAATGATACATTAAAATTAGCTCATCATACAGTAAACAAATGACATTTTGAAACAAAAAAAAAAAAACTTAGAACATAGAGTCTTTATTTTTTCTTTCCTATGAGTTCGTTGTAAACGTAATTGTGATTATTTAAAAAAAAAAAACTTTATATTTGTATTCTTATGTATATAATTGAAGTTCTTTTTCTTAAATATAATACTTTTGTTTCAATAAAAAGAACAATTAGTCGTGATACTTTTATTCTCTAATATACAGAATGAAAAATCTTCTTGATTGCTCATAAACATTCTCCAGTAGTTCCGGTTTTTAATAAAAGAACAAAGTTTGGAGAGGCTAGATAGATTTCCTCCATCTAATGATGTATATATTATCACATTTTTGCTCGAACTTTTGACATATTCATTGTTGATGCCACAATTGACGTGTTCTGTAAATACCGTTGCAAAGATGGTGATCTCTATTGACATACCACTGGCTCGCACTAGAATCTGATAACACATGTACCATTAGATAGATGAGGTCTATCTTTGTAAGCCTATATACATGTATATCATCTGAAAATGTGTTTAAAATAAACTATCTATTATCAAAAAACAAAAAAAGTTTTGAAACAAATGAATGTGAATACAAAATTCAATTCAATTGTTTCTTTTTTTAAATCGACAAATCTCGTTCTTGTCACAGTAGTGACATCCGTACTCAAATTAAGTGTTGCTTTTGGTTTCAAATTTCTATGATTAGATTGGAATACTGTGTAGAAATTATATATGACTACTCAACTTACAAGTCTTTGAATATTTTTTTAATTCAATTGATAATTCGTAAATCATTACTGAAAATCAGTGATAAATGCGATTTGTCACTCTGATTTATCGACAATCTTCATAATATTATTGCTTATGTCATAATCACGATAAAATCTCATTTAGTCACTGACATTTTTATGAAATACAATTAGTCACGGTTTTATGCAAATTGTTTTTTCGAAATCGACAAAATTTCTACGATCTTCACGACATGAGGAGACGCATCTGCGAAGAACGATGTGAAATTTGTTATAGAAGACTTAAATCTAATGAAAAAGAACTTCGTTTAAACTCTTGTAACCTTTTATTTTTCATTGAATTATTACTTGATAGTATTTATTAGAGAATAAAAGTTACTAAAGAATGGCAGAAGTATTAATAGCTTATCTATGCGTAACAGGAATATATTTTGTTCCGAGGAAGAAAAAAAAAAGTATTTTCAGCAAAAAATCACAAAGAGAGAAAAGAAAAGAGCAATACACGATGTGAAGAGAAAAAAATGAATAACATAATGCTTTCTTTGTATCAGCAGTAACATACATTTAGTGAATATTTAACATATGGAAGAATAATAGCTTGCATTG